CTTATTTCCAAATAAGATCTCATTCACAGGTACTGGGGAATAAGGACTTTGTCATATTTTGGGGGCACCCAATTCAATCCAAGCTTGCTCCAGGTATCTGGCACACAGAGAACAAAAACCTTCATTTTTATTACTATCGTTTATACTCTCTCATAGTTTACAACTCTTTTACAATTTCTTAATTCTGGCATGATGTTATCGAACTTGTTGTCCAGCAGTTGTTTCTCTTTTGGTGAGTACCTACACTGTTTACTAAAAATCAGATTTTATAAAATTTTATACTTTAAAAGCAGCAGATTTCAATTAACATATGCCAAAAAATCCTACATACAATCTTTAAAACATATAGAAATACTAGAGCTGTCTTCATGAACCATATAAGGGAGTCAGCCCAAGTGCATCCCCAGCGACTCTCCAGAACAGGCAGAGTTAACATGAGTGGAAGTTTCTCCTCTAAAATGGACTCTCCTGAGTCCTTCATGTTCTCTTTTCTGATACTCAAAGATTTTACCACCATGCCCAGTTACCCTTTCAGTTCAAACACTCCAACACTTTTTGGACTGTGAAAGAATTTGGTGTGAGCAACTCTGTTCAAGCAAGCCAATCCACAAGGAGTCTCATGTTACTCCAACAGCTTGGCACACACTCCAAGAACTGAAAAATGCCTTCCAACTACTTTTATGCCTCATATTCCTGGCTAATCTGTAAATTCCCTATGCTGGATTTAAAATCTTTCTTTCTCCCCAGATTTCCACCACTAATCTGGGCATGATTCATTTATTCTCTGGGCCCTGGTTCATTTTTTTCAAATCAGGCTAAAATCACTGTCTTCTCTAATGAATCCCTGAACTCTGCCCACAGGAAACCTCTGACTGGCATTTGTCTTACTTACTGACCTTTGGCCTCTTATTCATTCCTTGAGCCAAACTACAGTATTGGAATTGCATTCTAGATGGACTCTTCAAGAATTCACACCCTTGTCTCTTTTACACTCTTATAGTTCATTTTTCTCAACTCTCCATAGAGATCAAGACAGCTAGTATTTTCTCCTAGAGATTAAAAAATACTTAAGATGACATAACTATAATTAGTAATTCTTCATTCCCCAATCACAATCTCATTTGGAGGGGGCTGTTGTCTTTTATAACCAGACATTAACAAGTGAATAAGTGATGAAAACTTCAAAAAGAGATGTATCACTTGGAGACTCTTGTCTCCACTATTAGTTCTGACACTCCCAGTAACCCTCAACCCCAAACTATTGCTCTCCAACAGTCTTTCAAGTTGCAAAGAATTTTTTTTTCTGTTAATAACAGATCTTTAATTCCAGAGAAACACTGTTTTGTTCACATGCTCTCTCATACACTCTGCTCTCTCTGCCTAGTTTTCTCCACTGAAGAACTTGGAATACTCTGAGCACCTCAACTCTATAATGCACTCACTCCAACCCCTATGCCCCCACAAAGACTGTTTCTTCCTAAAATTGATCAAGCAATATCCCACAGATAAGTGGGCTCTACTGTGTTTATGTAATGCAGGACTCCTGACGGCCTTACAAGGCAGTCTAGGACACTTCTATCCAAAATTCCCTGGCTCTCTCCCTCACTGGGCTCAGACCTACAACTGAGGTAGGTCTCACATGCATCTCCCTCCTTCCCTGCCCCTGGCCCCACCTATTTTCTCCCACAGGTATCTGTCCCAATAAAACTCTTGCATTTAATCCTGCCTTGGCATTTGCTTCTTGGAAGACCCAGCCTAACACATCAAGATTAATGACTCATAAAAATTCATATTTCCCCAAAACAAGCAACTTTCAAATGGGGCCTCAGAAAGTAGATAAACAAACAGGGGTTTTGTAAAGTAGATCTCAGATACAGAGTTCCTCCTTCTCTGCTCCATTGATTCCCCACCTTGAAAAAGATACTAACAAAAAAAAATTGGCTTTTAAATAGTTGTATCAAATTAATATCTTTCCTAATAGTAAAAGGTTCTTCTTTATGTACAAATTCATCCAGTTCTAATAAGAAGGGATCAACATAGGAACTGTTACTTGAAATTAGCTACTTTGGCACTTAGATGTCTATTTCTTGATTTAACTGTGAGTTTCTAGAGGGTTGGCATTCCATTCCATTTCTTTTCTTTTCTTTCTTTCTTTTCTTTTCTTTTTTTTTTACTGAGTTCTGGGTTTGTAGTAGATACTCAGTAAATAATCCACTGAATAGAAGCAGGAAATGCTCAATCACGGTGAAGTATAAAGATGGGGGAGGGGGGTAGTACCTAGCCCCTTCTAGGGATTTGAAAAAAAAAAAACATAAAACATATCTATGATCTTCATTATATAAACCATAGAAAATAAACTTCAAGTTCTATTTCACAAAATATAGAAAGCAAACATCAACAAAAATCTTTTTAGCTATAGTAGGAATAAGCAAAAGATAAAGCAAGGAAGATGATAAAGAATTGATTTTAAACTGTTGAGAAACTGTAACAGTGATACTGTATTGGTCAAAAATGGTTATCCTGTCTTTCTAAGAACTATCCAATATATAACTTCTGGATTTAAGATAATAAGTTTCAATAATCATGTGGCTAGAGCTATATATATATAATATATATAATATATGTATGTAATGCATTGCTATATATAATGCATTTGTATACTATATATTGTATAAGATATAGATTTCCTTCCACCAATAAACTTCACCATCCTGTAGACTTACTCAAACTTCATTATTTATACATTGCCAATAGACAGAATTATATTCTCCTTTTAAACAAAAAGAAAAGTCCTGTATCTTCCTACCATGTCAGGTAAAGGACTTTCTTTGAAACAAAATATTGGTCCACTTAGATGGTAGTGGAAAGTTGACATTACAAAATAATTCCATGACAGTCAATGGAAATAGGACCAAAAGAATTGAGAGTTAGATAACTAGATCTCATGATTTCTGATTCCTTCATTGTCATTAAGAAGAAGAACAATTTATTTAACCAACGGTTGGCATATTTATGATGATTAAATTCTTACTATAGCAATGAAAACAAGTGTATAAGTGGAAATCTCAAACAATGAAGCTTTTAACTAGTATTTCCCATAATAGATGAATACCTCTAAATTATACCTTGTCATTGGGGAATTTTTGCTGTATATTAATGGATTTAAAATCTAATTAACTTTCCTATACTGTTTAACAACACTACAGTAACACTGTCTTAACTCATAACTTTTAAGTACACTTAGTGAACTGGAGAAAGCAGAAAAAATATTCCACATATCAGAGTCAAAAAACGAAGAAAACATTTTTCTTCCTTTCCTTTTCATTATTTTCCCCAGAACCTACTGCAAGTGGGATGAAATTAAAGAAGAAAGATATATCTAAAACAATCTATGGTAATTTAAAATGATTAATCCCAGGTCTTTTAACATATAAAATGCTCTAGTGGAAATTTTAGGTAGAGTAAATCTTGTAGAACTGCAGGTTGTCACTAAAGGATCTGACACCAGGAAGTCTAATTTTTGCACTACAAGCTCAGGAAGAAAGTAAAACCATAGCTCTTCACATTTCAAATTAACATGTCACTTCTCCTATGAGTCAACCAAATAACAGATACGAATTGAAGTACCTACCAGATTTTGGGCATGATAAAACATTTTATAATGAGCCCCCAGTTAACGGAACTAATCCTGAAGAATTTAATATGTGTTTGATATGAAAAAATTAGAAAAACAAATAATTCCAAGTAGTTAAATGGAAGTAATGAATATAAAAACATTTTCAACAGAAGGTTAAGGAAAACAAAAAGACCTATAATTTCAGAAAGTATGACAAATTTGGTAGCAGAATGGAAAAATACATATTTTCTAGAGGAGATATTTTTGACTTAATATAGAAAGCAATGAAATTCTAATTATAATAAGTGAATAGGTAGAAAAGAAACATTTATTCCTTTTCCAAGGATACTATTTTCCTAGTTAGCTGTCTGAAACCTTTCAAACAAATAGAGGACATCTCAAAAAATTGCTTACAAAGCTTCATTATAAACAGTTTATGGTAACAAAATATGGCGTACATATATTAAGCTTTCATGCTACAGCATTTTCTTTCTTTTCTTCATCCAACAAAGATTTTTGGAGCCCCTAGCACATAATTAAGCATCATTCTAGTGCTATAGATACAGCATGAACAAGATGGACTAAAATCCTGGCCAATATGGAACTTATTTTCTACGTGAAATAAATAACAAGTGCAAAAATAAGTAAAAGATCTAGTATGTTCCATCCTACTACTGTTCCATTGTCATTCTGCCATAATATTGTCCTTTGATTTAATGCTACTGGATGTAGCATAAGTAAAATTATAATGTGATAAAAGCCTTTTGATATTTCCATAAACCTTGTTGGCCCAGTTCTAAGGTTGATCTGTCATAAAAGGATTACCATGATATAAACCAGGGATCACCAAACTTTTTCTGTAATGAGTCACACATAAATATTTTAGGCTTTGCAGGCCACCTATGATCTGTGTCACATTTTCTTCATTTTTTTGAACCCTTAAAAATTGTAAAACCACTCTTACCTCATAGGCTATACAAAAACATGCCTGGGACTGAATCTGGACTGCGGTCATCACTCTCCAACCTTTGCCCCAAATCTGAGTATCTGAGTATCCCTGCTTTTTAGGTGGCTATGCTTAGTACTACATTTCATGGCTTTTTATTTTTTTTACATTTAATCTTTTACTCTTTATTATTCATTTTCCAAAATCGAATAAAACATTCTTTTCTAAACCTACAATATTACCAACCAGTGCAGCCTCAAAGTCGGTTGTGAAGAGCAGGGCTACAAACTCTATTTGACACAAGCAACATGAAAACATTCTTGGCAGAAAACCCTTCCAAAGTCTAAATGCTTTAGAGAGATAGTGTGGTGGAGATTGTATACACACTCTCCATTGGCTTTCTGGGGCAGACACATAGAAAGACTAATGTTCCCTTACCTTGCTGGAGGAACATCAATATTAGAAGAAACAACTTTTCGTTTTTGCTCAAGGAGACAGATGGAGCGAGTGTTCTCTTTTTCATGGTCAAGGGCTCGGTTGGCTTTTTTGGTGTCTGCTGTTTTCACATCTTCCTCCATGGCCAAGGAAAACAAGTGTTGATGAGACATTTTTTTACTAGAGTCACGTTTTAAGTCCTCTGGTTGAAATGTGAAGGTCATTTCCCGTTTAATGCTCCCCACCTGTGAAATGAAACACAAAAATCCTTACTCACCCAGAACATCAAGCTTTGCATGACCATGTACAGATGACCCTAAAAAAGACCATAGACCAGAGACCTCCTTGCTGAAGATTTTATAGTTTAAAAGAGAAAAATGTAACAGAGAAATAAAATAACTGACATTATAAAATATGATTGATGCATCATCTGTCATAATGCAAACAAGCAGCATCACGAACATAAGAGGAACCTTTCAGTCATACAAAAACTTTGAAGACTTGAAAGTATAATACTTCTAAAACAAATCTAAAAATTTAATACATCACTGTTTTCTACAACTGAGAAACTCAAATAAATCCTTAAATATTTCACACTCATTATGTTGAACAGAAGAGTGCTATAAACATAAAATGAGCTTTATCTTGGACTATGAATAATGATCTTAACCATACTCTTTAGTTCAGGAAGAACTGGTTTTATCTTTTATCTACAACAGTTAAGATCTTAATGAAATCCCTCATTAATATGATGATTAAAAAGTCATTAATTTTATCATTTTTTACTAAATCCAACAATGCTTAAGGCTTAAGACATACAAAAAGTTAAGCCTCAGGGCATTGACTCTGGTTATTTCAGAATTTGTGATAACTAAAAACAAAGCCTGAAATTAAAGAAATATTTTTGTAAAGGTGGTTGGCTGGTATTGTGAGTGAGGTTTGGAGTGAACTTGTTAAAGTCACGAGTGTACAAAGAAGAGGCAGAGGGGGGACCTGGGTGGCTCAGCCAGTTAAGTGTCCACCTTTGTCTAAGGTCATGATCTCGGGCTCCTGGGATTGAGCACCACGTCGGGCTCCCTGCTCAGCAGGGACTCTGTTTCTCCCTCTCCCTCAGCTCCTACCCTGCTCATGCTTTCTCTTACTATCTCTCTTTCTCTGAATAAATAAAATCTTTTTTTTTAAAAGTGAAAAAAAAAACCAGAAAAGGAATCATTACTCTATTGATAAGTGGAGTGTGTTTCAAAATTATGCACACCTGTAAGACATATCACTGGCCCATATGACAGCTCATCCCTTGTGTGGACTTCGTCTATAAAATCAATAAATCTTCACTTACCAACTTAAATGGAGGATATGCTTTTCTTTCTTTTTAACTTTAGATAGGAGGAAAAGCACACAAAATTTGATCAAATAGATTTAGAATTACAGAAGCTAAAGCCACAAACAAGGCATTTTCAGAATAAAATGAGAACATATGTGTTCGATAATAGCAGACTGGCAAAGTATGATATTAAAGACCAGAAATTCCCAGACTAAAGGGAAACTCTGAGGTATGCACGTTAGAGTCACAGGACTTGCTCACATATGAGAATTTCCAGAACCCAGAGATGACTTATGCCTTGGAATCCACTTGGCTGGAATGTATTTTTCCTATGAACACAGAGCTTTAAACTGAGCTCTCTTCTCTCCTTGGCCTGTACTTGTCAAGGCAAAATGATCTTCTTCCTGTGGTGTTCCTGTCAGATCTAGCTGCAGGAAAATGGTCAGCCACTTTTGGTCTTCTTGCAACTCATTAAAAAGTTACCATATTTCTTGAAACGAGTGCTTTTAAGAGCTGTTTTAATGACATCAATATACAATAGAAAAAGATAAAATATTTCAAAATTCAAAAAATGCAGAATGTCCAATAAAAATGTAGCTTGGAAAACTGACAAATGTAATTATGAGTATTTCACATATCCACCACAAGTCACTTTCTATGTAATTTTTTCTGCCTGGAGGTAGGAAAGGGAAGTGTTTTTTCATTTCCATAGCACCTCATTCCAAACCTGTGTTACAACACGGATACGCTAAACACCAGGTATAGCACATGAAAACAAAGGCCTGGTTTTGATGATTATAAATAGTTTCCCTCTAGGTGTCAAGTATTACATTAATTAATATTTAAGTAGTCATTAGTATTAAGTTGTGGCAATAATTGACATCTATACCTCCCTTGGGGCTAACTGTACTGGTTAAATGAATTCAATTCAAAGACAGGGTTAGTGGAGAAAATTATAGGAAGCTAAGCTTTTAGCTTCAAAATTTTAGGTAAAAAAAATCCAGCATTCTAAGGCAAATTAATAGAAAATAGAATAAATTTCCTATAGAAATTATATATGTCATGTTTTTACCCAAGACCTCATAAAGATATAGTTAATATTCAACAATGTAAGCTATAAATTTTCCATAATACATCCTAAGCAAAAAATTAATCTCTCAATAGTAATCAGGGAATTTTAGCAATGTAATGGATTTCAGAGTCTATTTAGCCCAAACTCCTTGTATTAAAAGTGGAATTAAAAGGAGTCAGAGACAGACCAAAGAGGACAAAAAAATATAGTGATGAGTAAGAGATTTTAGGTACTTTGAGTCATGGATTCCACTATGTGTAAAGTTGGTGGAAGGAGTGGGTGACAGGTGTAGGTCTTCATTATGTTACTATGCTTTAAAATTTACATATAGAGATTATATGTTTTTAACATTCTTTTATTAGATATTAATATTAAAAAGATTTTTTTGAAGGAGCGTTCACAGGAAAGTAGAGAGTGGGAAGAGTACATGAAGTCAAGTCTTGAGAAGCTGGGCTCTGAAATGGCTCAGAGGAATAGGGTGTTGGCTGGAGAGAATGCTGGACAGGGAGACTTTTCTAAGATGAGAGGTAATAAAGCATGTTTGAAAGCTGAGTCAGAATGGAGAGAAAGAGATGAGTAAGGATAGTAGTAGCAGTAGAAGGGGATAGGACTAACATCCAGTTGTTGCACCTCTAGCAGATTAGCAAAGAATACAGCAAAGGGAACATATGAACCCTGATTAAATTTGGATCCCTATTAGATTAGCAGAACAAAGAAGCTAAAGGAAGATATGATTCCATTTATATGAGATTTCCAGAAAAGGCAAATCTATAAAGACAGAAAACAGATCAGTGATTGCCTGAGGCTGGGAGTAGGAGCAAGAATTGACAGCAAATGCATGCCAGAGAACGTTCTATGGTGGGGGAAATATTCTAGAACTGGACTATAACAACATTTGCATAATGCTATAAATTTTATTAAAAATAATTGAACTGTATTTTTTAAAGATTTATTTATTTATTCATGAGAAACACACACACACAGAGGCAGAGACATAGGCAGAGGGAAAAGCAGGCTTCCTACGGGGAGCCTGATATGGGACTCAGTCTCAGAACCCTGGGATCACGACCTGAGCCGAAGACAGACACTCAGGCTCTGAGCCACCCAGGTGCCCTGAACTCTTAAAATGAGATGACTATTATGGTATGTAGATTTTACCTCAACAGTACTGTTAATTTAAAAAAAAAAGAAGAAGAACTAAACCAGGAGTAACTGATGTGGAAAGTATATTTACAAGGACCTTGAGATCAGATATTGGGAAACTGTGCTTGTAAACAGGCTTCCATAAAGTCTATAAATCTTTTCTTCTTTTCTTTTCTCTTTTTTTTTTTTGAAATACAGGTGGTAATATGCCACAAGCAACTGTATGGTTATATCCTGCATACTGGTAAGATGTGGCTAAAATCCAGCCCCACTCAAGCTATGTCTTCTGGCTTTGTCACCCATGGAAGAGGGACACTTTCCAATTCTTCCAACCCGAAAGGAATTTTTGTACTTCATCTGCCCAAAGAGGGCACTCTTATTCATTTTTTCCCCAATTTGCACAATGCCCTGGTGATCAAAGGAAAGTCTTCCGATGACCTACGTGGCCTGGGCCAAGTTAGCTTCCTTCCTGGAAGCAGATATCAATTCATTAGGTGACTCATATAAGCTGGATAGTTTTGATAGTAAAAATGTTGAGGGTATCAGAAGCAGCAGCACTCTATGCTACAGTTTATAAGGCGGCAAAGGGTTCAACACAGAAGACAGCCAGAAAACAAACACAATCTAGAAGCCCCAGTGACAAACAACGAAGAAAAACAGCAAGATCACTGACTAGTAATCTCTAGGAGAAAATACAAGGCTAAAGTTTGTGACTAATCCTAGCCTAGATTAAAAAAAAAAAGTGTCTCCTGCCCAGGAAAGGATTAATCTGTCTCACCGTAATGAGACTGTAAATTGGAAGGTAGTGTATTTGATTTTGGTTGTCACATTTCAAGACAGTCACTCACAAATTGGGACAAACACAAGAATGATCAGCATGGCAAAGGATCTTATTGGGAGGAACTGGGAATATTTTGTCTAGAAAACAGATGGGTTATGCCCCACACAGCTGCTCTTAGATGAATGGAGAACTCTCTTGGAAGAAGAGGAATTTGAGTCCTTCTGTATTCCTTTAGAAACAGGATCAATGGCACCCACCTCTGCTTCTAGCTAACCCCTTCTGACCTTATGGTACTGTCTCTTCCTCTTTTCTTCTTCTTACTTTACCACATTGTAAAATAAATACTTTGTAAGAAATACTACTTTCTACTTAACTGTATCTTCATGGAGTCATAAACTGGTAAGTAGGTAGATTCTCAGAAGTTACCTTGTCTCACTTAAACATTTAATTTTTCACTCTTTCCAGAGTTTAAATGGATCTTTCATTTTTTAAAATGTTTATTACAAAATATATGCTTGTTATTAAATTTTTAATAAAAATGTGTATGAAATAAATGGGGGAAAGCTTTCTATTCCTCCCCACTCTTTTTCCCAGCCCTGCCTGGTCAAATCGAACCCCTAGACAGAATAGCTTTTAACAACGTACTGCAACACTTTAAATTACTTAAAATGCATTAAATACCTATCCATGTACATATACTGTTTGAAGTGTCTAAACATGAATGTGATTGTACTACATTATTTTTCTTCTCCTTTAAAATAGATTTTATTTATTTATTCATGAGAGACACACAGAGAGAGACAGAGACACAGGCAGAGGGAGATGCAGATCCCAGGACCCCAGGATCATGACCTGAACCAAAGGCAGACACTCAACCACTCAGTCACCCAAGTGCCCCTACATATATTTTTCTGCAACTTATTTTCTC